AAATAAATAAATAAATAAATAAATAAATAAATAAATAAATAAACCTACAGTACTGCACTCTAATCACTGTGATTGTATGAGTGAATCATACAATCATTAGCGAATCTGGCTTCCCCCAATTCTCTGCTTGGAAGGCCGCAAATGGCAATCACATGAGCCCAGGACATTGCAACCATTGTGAGTACATCTGGTTGCCAAGTGTCTGAATTTTAATCATGTGACCACGGGGATACTGCCATGGTTGTAAGTGTGAGGACCGGATGCAAGTCACTTTTTTTCAGTTGCATTTTAGCCTTGAACGGTCGCTAAATGAATGGTTATAAATTGAACACTGCCTCTATATAAACAGTTCTTCCAGTTCAGGCATGGTGCTCTGCTTTCCCTCCAAGTCCTAAGCAAGCCTGACCCAGCTTAGTTTCTGAGCCTGAGCAACGTTGCCCAAGTGCTACTACCTGTTGAGATCATTAGCCTCTAAGCAGTGAATTTTATTGCGGTCAACCTGTAGCACTTGGATTCTGAAGTCTTATCTCCTGGTCTCTTATCAGCTTCATTCTGGTTACTACCTATAAGCAGTGGTGGGATTCAGCCAGTTCGCACCAGTTCGGCACAACTGGTAGCTAATTTTTTGTTGCCCAGGCCCAGAGTGGACTTTCAGAAGCAGCATCCACACAGATCCATATCATATATTTGAATCCCACCACTCCTTCCTTCCTTCCTTCCTTCCTTCCTTCCTTCCTTCCTTCCTTCCTTCCTTCCTTCCTTCCTTCCTTCCTTCCTTCCTTCCTTCCTTCCTTCCTTCCTGTGGTAGGATTCAGCCGGTTTGCACTACTTCGGCAGAACGGTAACTATTTTTTTGTTGCCCAGGCCCAGAATCGACTTTTGGAAGCGGCATCCATACAGATAACCGGTTGTTCACCTATTTGAATCCCACCACTGCCTATAAGGCTCTGCAGGGGACAGAAAATGGAAGATCAAATATATTGCAATATCACAAATGCAAACCACATAACTTATGTACTTGCATCTGACATTGGGACACAACTATGAAAGCCTGTTGTGATGCATGTCTTATCATTTCTTTGGGTCATGATGGTTTGTATCCAATATCTGTGTTATGGTCCAATTCATTTTTAATTAAGTTTCCACAAGTCAAATATGGTTTGATTTCAGTTAGGCTACAAGGGCAGGAATTTATACATAAGTAAGCAACCCTGTAAATCTTTGCGGCATCTCCTGTCTCTCTCCATCAAATTAAGTTTCGCTGCCTTGGAAAAAGGGCAGTGGAAGTTCGCCGTTGCTTACAGACATTCCCAAAGATTTGCACTCAGCTTGCAAAGGCTTAACTCCTTTTTGGGCAAATGGGGTGGGGGGCGGATTAAGCATCTCACAGGAGTTGAATGCTTACAGTATTCTGTTCAGTTCTATTTTGAATTAAATTTGTAAGTTGAAAGTTGTTCCAGCGTGGCTGGGGTCCAACCTAAGCCAGCCGAAGTTTGATAATCAGCCTGGCATTCATATGGATTCAGTTTAGTTCCAGTTGAATTGGGGAAATGTTACAAATGCATTTTTATCTGCAAGGGAAGAATGGGGAAAGGAAAGAATCAGTATGGTGAATTTGCTATATTTAAATCTCAGAAATCACACATAGGAATAGATATGATACTGAAAAGATTCGTTTACTTTCTCCCAATCTTCCTCTCCTCCCCTCCCCTCTCCTCCCCTGCTTTCTCTTGTTTCTCAGTTTGTCTCTGCAATTTCATTTGTCAAATATTTAAGGAAGACTGAGCTGTAGCGCTTATGACATAATTCATGATATTATCTTTCCCCAGGTATAGTGTGGTCACAAGCTATGAGGATTCTTTACACACCAGCACTTTAACCATTGCCAATGTCAGCGCAATGCTTGACTATGCCATCTTCACCTGCACAGCCAACAATGATCTGGGCACAGATGCTCTTGATATTCAGCTACTTAGCACCAGTAAGGAACAGCTGGAACCTGGATGTCTGTCCAGTGAAGTTGAAAGTCAAAAATTCCTTGTACCCTTTGAATTAACTTTGATTATTTCTTGCCAGGTCGTCCTGACCCACCAACGGGGTTCAAGGTTATCAGTGTAGCTCATAATTGGTTGGCTTTGGAATGGACCCCAGGTTTTGATGGAGGGCTCCAGCAAAGCTTTCGTGTCAGGTAGGGCTCATGGAGATAGTCCCATCTATCAACACAGGGAAAGATGCTTTAAATCAGTGTAACTCTCATGGTCCCATATATAAACTGCTATCACTTGGTTGAATTGCTGTTCTTAGGAACTCTGAAAAGTGTCAGGCCCAAAAACAAGAATGACACATGACAGCAATAGTAATAGCTCTTAGACTTATATACTTCATAGTGCTTTACAGGGCTTTCCAAGCGGTTTACAAAGTCAACATACTGCCCCCAACAATCTGGGTCCTCATTTTACCGACCTCGGAAGGATGGAGTCAACCTTGAGCCAGCAGTCAGCAGAAGTAACCTGCAGTACTGCACTCTAATCACTGTGCTACCACGGTGCAAGTGGTTGTTAAGTGAGACACGCCCAATTGTATGATCTTTTTGTTGTCGTTGCTATGATTGTTAAATGATTCACTGCAGTTGTTGAGTGAATCATACAATCATTAGCGAATCTGGCTTCCCCCGATTCTCTGCTTGTCAGAAGTTGGCTTGGAAGGATGGAAGGCCGAGTCAACCTTGAGCTGGTCAAGATTGAACTCCTGTCTGTGGGCAGAGTTAGCCTGTAATACTGCGTTCTAACTGCACTACCATGGCTCGGTATTCCAAGCTGAATTCTTTATTGTTTCCACACCTATAGACAGAATCTTGCCAGACTAAGCACTCTGCTATCTGCATCTACCATACTGTAGACTCTGTGAACTGTTAGGGAGGGGTTGTCTTCACTCTCTTTCTCACACACAAAACATCGGACTGAATGGTCTCTTATTCCTCTGCAATGCATCCCCTCCCCCCTGGGAATCCAGTCTACTATATTCCATTACACTCATCAACTTTAAGAAGTATAGACTTGAATTTTCAGAATTCTGGGAATTGAAGTCCATATACCTTAAAGATGCTAAGGTTGAGAAACACTGTCCTAGTGCACAAGCCTTGCTCTGTGAAATAAGTATATTCATATAATAACTCTGGAATGATTCCCTCCCCCCCCTGAGATTTGTGTGATCCCACCCTTGTACCATTCCAGAAGTCACTGAAGGTCTGGTTGTTTCCCCAGGCCCTTAGGATCAGGATGACCGTGAAACCCCTTTCTGTTTTGTTCTATTTTGTGTTGATCTGTTTTGGTTTTGCTTGAGTATCTTGGTCTTCTTGTCCATCGTATGCATATTTTTTAGTTGTAATGCTACCCAGTGTTGCTTCTGCATTGGATGGCCCAGACGTTAAATATATAAACAAATACTGAAATGTCCTTGCCTTCAAGTGACGCACGTAGACTAGACATTTAGGCGAAACCACCAGGGAAAAGCAGTTAGAAAAAGAGACAATGTCAATGCAGAAACAGATGGAATTTATTAATTTGAATAATCCACATTCAGAAATTATCCATGCTTCCAAGATATACATGGATTAGGCAGTGTGGGCCTGATTGCCCCTTCATGTCACACATTATGTGTTTAATGAATTTGTTCTTCTCAGTAGCTTTTATCTCCACTTCCTTTCATTCAGATATCATTGGCCCGGGGCTCCCAGCTTTCTGTACGTGGATGTCTTTCCACCACAATCTCCAACTTTTACACTGACTGGACTGCAGCCAAACACCCCCTATAATGTCTCTGTCAATGCACGCAATGCTCTTGGAGAGAGTGATTTTGCAGATGAAGGTGCAGGGCTGAGCATCACCACAGAAGGTAAGGGACTTCAAGGTAATCCAGAGAAGAAGCACAACAATGAATATTAGTTCTATCTTGATTGCAAGTTTATATTGATAGAATCTTGCAAATCTGAAAAATGAGGGAGGGTCCCTTTTGAAATTCTTCCCACATCCTCCCTCCCCCCGCAGGTTTTGACATCTTTTGCATGATGTCTAGTCTGTAGCTCTTCTTCCTGACTTCCAAGGTCATCCACACATACTGTTACAGGAACAAGAGCAGGGTGCAGCAGAGGAGCATGAGGGCATAGCTGTATTTTAAGGAGCAAAAAGGCAGTAATTGTATAGTAGACATAGTGCTGGACATGGACCATAGAGATCCAGTTCTGAAGTTGAATTGGATTGAATACTTTATTTGACCGAGTGTCATTTAGACACACAATGAATTTGCCTCCGGTATAGAAGCACTCGTTGTACTTGCAAGACAACAGAGAAAAAAATAATACCCATAAAAGAGAGAAGTAAAGAAAATAATACAAGGAATAAATAATAATACTACAGCCACACTCTATGGGTTGATAGTCATTCACATTAGACAGAACTTGTGAGAATTAGATGTTCAGCAGAGTGATGGCATGAGGGAAAAAAACTGTTCCTGTGTCTTGTTGTCTGGGCATTCAAGTTCTGTCAGCCCTGATTTTCACAAAATAGCGATAGTACCTAGACTTGTATACTGCTACATAGGGCTTTACAACACTGAGTGCTGTAAAATGTCAGTATATTACTTCCAGTAATCTGGGTCTTCAATGTACCAACCTTGGAAAGCTGGCTAAATCTTGAGCTGGTGAGGATTGAACTCCTGGCTGTGGGCAGAGTTTACCTGCAATACTGCATTCTAACCACTGCGCCACCACAGTTCCTAAACTCCAAAAGTGAGTTTGAGCCAGCTAGTCTCTTAGTTTAACATAACTGATGGGCTGGTTGTAAAAATAATAAAGATAGAGGCAAGTGAATATACTACTCATATTTTTAGAAGAAGGAAGGAATACGTGAAGAGTAGAATAAATCAGGTAGAAAAACCATCAGTGGAATCATATCTGGATTAAACATGATACTCAGTTGAGACAACCACTGAGGTGGAATGATGGAAGTGTTGTTGAACTGGCAATAGAGAGGCCCAGTTTCTAGTCCATTCTCATCCACATAAGCTCCCTGGATGACTTGGAACCAGTTCGTCCCTCTCAGCCCAATTTTCCTCACAGGGTTGTTGTTGTGGGGGAAATAGGAGAAAGAAAGAAAGCCAGTTTTGTCTAGCGGTTAAGGATCCAAGCTAGAAAGCAGGAGACGGTGAGTTCTAGTCCCATCTTAGCCATGAAAACCAGCTGGGCAAGTCCCTCTCTTTCAATCTCAGTTCATTTCACCTCATAGGATTGTTGTTTTGGGAAAAATAGGAGGATTATGTGTTGCGGGTTACAAACAAAAAAACCCCCAGATATGTTCGCTGTCTTGAGTTTATAAAAAAATAAATAAAGGTGGGATATAAATAAATTAATTTAAAAAACCAAGATCCCATGTGGTATCAAGGTGAAATCTGCACTAGGAGTGGGGAAACGTAGCTCTAGTTTACACTCAGTCATGGAAACTCATTGAGTAACTTGGTCCATGGGCCAGGTGAAATCTGGACTAAGAGTGGGAAAATGTAACTCTAGTTTACACTCAGTCATGGAAACTCATTGAGTAACTTGGTCCATGGGCCAGGTGAAATCTGGACTAAGAGTGGGAAATGTAGCTCTAGTTTACACTCAGTCATGGTCCATGGGCCAATCACTCTTCTCAGCTCAACTTACTTCTTGGGGTTATTCCTGTAGGGAAAAGCAGGAGGCAGCACCACACAGTCACACTGAGGAGATGGTTATATATGTTTTCACAATACTGAAAAGTTCATGGGGAAAAAAAAATCCGGATTGTTCAAGTAATTGGTGAATGTTCCTGGCACTTTCTGTTCATTTCCCCTAAAGGCACAGGATTCTGCTTATGCTTTCTGAGCCTTCTTATAAGGAAGTAAAAAAGGGAAGCAAAACTAAAAAAAAAATAAAAATGCACCAAGAAACATGGCACTTTGAGCCCGATCCCTTTATCAGGCAACTTGTCAGCTATCTGTAGCTGTTAGAATTTGAATAATACACTGTTGTAATTTTCCATATTTCTTTCCAGAGAGAATAGAAACAACAGTTGAGAAGGACCCGGAGATTCCCTTCTCGTCTGAACCAGGTGATCTGTCCTAGTTAAACCCTGCTTTGTTACGATAAATATGGCCATGGTACCTTGGTTAAGCTAGCCACTATTTGTATGAGGGAGACTTAGGAGCCATCGATGCTTCTTTCCATGCTGTGAATACTTGGTTTTGTATTGTCAAAAAATAAAATGCCAAAGCTATCCATGCTACTCCATCTGATCAGCTGGGGACATTACTTATGGATGCCCACAATATTTGCGAGCGATAAAATGAGGAACTGAGGTTTAAATTTAAGTTAAATTTGTGTACAGGCTCTACACAAGTGGAATCCTGCCCTGGGAGCAGGAAGTTGGACTAGATCAGGGGTAGGCAACCTTGGCTCTTTTATGACTCGTGGACTTCAACTCCCAGAATTCCTGAGCCAGCATAGCCAGAAAGAAATATTGGGAATATTAAAAGGCAGAATATTATATTTCCCCAAAGGATCTTAAAGGCAGAACCCATCCCCCAAATCTCTCTGCCCCAAACAGAAACCAGGTCTGCAGAAATGCAGATGTGATAATCTTGTCCAGGGATAGTCAACCTTGGCTCTTTTATGACTCGTGGACTTCAACTCCCAGAATTCCTGTGCTGGCTCAGGAATTCTTGGAGTTGAAGTCCACGAGTCATAAAACAGCCAAGGTTGCCTACCCCTGGACTAGATGATCTCCAAGATCTCTTCCCATGCTGACACATTGCAATTCTATGACAATAAGGAGCTGATACTGGGTTCTTTTCTGATTTGTGGCAAAAATGATAAGGGGGAGAAAGTTCACTTTATCGACACTCACTTTTTAAATCTTTCTTCCCCTAGAAAGCTCCATGTTGCCACTTCCCCTTGTTGTGCTCCTCGGTGGTCTAGGAGGGTTTCTGATAGTTTCCAACTTGTTTTTGCTTGGCTGCTTAATCTTCAGAAAGAGAGCTCTGGCTCCCAAAGGTAAGCATAGATCGTAACTTATAAATGGGTCACCGGTCGGGGGAAATTCCAATACACTGCTCTGCTTTTTCTGTCTCTCGCCATAACTCTCTCACCATAAAAGCGATCATTCTACGTAGATAAATAAATCCTTTCATCTCTTCTGTTCGATATAATTTCTCTTGCTTGTTTTTCTCCTAACAGGAGATGGGATTGAAAGATCAACCAGGTGAGCCTAACTGGGCGAGAGGGCAAGACCCGTGTGGTAAAGTTTATAACTTGGGCATGCTTTCTTTTCTCTTTCTTTTTCGTATTGATGCATCTAACGTTTTGACGGAGTTGAATGATTTGAGAAGCTGACATTGTCAGTCAGGGAGAGAGGGGGGCAATTTCCTTGGTCACTGAGAAACACTTGGTAAATTCATCACTGTACTATAACCCAGTGTGGCGGTTAATTGCAGGGGGAAAGTGAGATTTGGGAACAGCTACACGATGAGCAAATGGCTGAAAGTTGGTGGGCAACCGGCACAGCTGGAGGGGTACAGTTCAGAGGTAAGTGCATCTATCTGGTCATGGGGACTGGGGGTGCAACATCTGAGTGACACAATGGTTGCCAAGCAAGGAGATAGGCGCTGGGGTAGGCAACCTTGGCTCTTTTATGACTCGTGGACTTCAACTCCCAGAATTCCTGAGCCAGCATGGCTCAGCTTGGAAACCTCTCCCTTTCCCCTCAGCATGCCTGGCTCAGGAATTCTGGGAGTTGAAGTCCACGAGTCATAAAAGAGCCAAGGTTGCCTACCCCTGAGTTAGGGGAATAACTGGTTTGTATGTTAAGCAGCAGATAATGTAATACTATTTTCAGAATGCACAGGAATTGGATACAGATAGTCCTCAACATACAACTTATTTGTTTAGTGATCATTTGAAGTTACAACAGCATTGAAAAAAGGGACTCATGACCAGTCCTTGCACTTACAACCAACACAGCATCCATCTGGTCATGCGATCAAAATTTGGGTGCTAGGCATCTGGCACGATCGCCATTTGCAACCTTCTCAGCCAGTTTCCAACAAGCAAGATCAATGAAGGAAGCCTGATTTGCTTAATGACTACGTGATTCACTTAATAACTGCAGTGATTTGCTTAACAAGGTAGCAAAAAAAAAAAGTAAAATTGGGCACGATTCATTCAGCCTTGCTTAGCAATGGAAAGTTTGGTCCCAACTGTGGTCCTAAGTTGAGAACTACCTGTAGTGTGTGGGATGGTGGTGGTGGAAGCACAAAACGTACTTGGTAGAGCGAGAAAAAAAACCCCTCTCTCTTTTTTTATTCCCCAAAGTTTTTTGAAACTTGCTCTTTCCTCCCAAAGAAACTTTTAAGTCAAACCAGCTGGTTTCACTCACTGCTTCCTCCATTCAATGTCAAGATTGCATCCTTTGGAAATAAGGGTACATTTTGCAGTGCCTCTGGATTCAGTCCATCTCATAGAGACCCACCGTTCTCTACAGTATCAGTCAATCCAATTTCAGCAATAGAGAGAAATTATGTCAGCTGGAGAAGATTAGTCGAACTGACTCACTTAGACTCCATCATAATGCAACTTAAGAATGTATTGTTGCAGTTTTGGAGAGTGGGTGGGATTGGGGGTTGCTAGGGAGCAAGGAAACTTGGGGAAAGTATAGGGAAGTCCCCAGGAGCACTTTAGAGAATCTTTCTGCCTCTGTCTGGAAAACTTTATGCAGCTCTGCTTCTGTTTCTTATTAGCAGAAAAGGGTATGAGGGTTTGGCCTAATGAGAAGTCCTTTTTCAAAAACAGAAAGCATAATCCTGACATTTTGAGAGAATCAGCCTATTTGAAAGGATCTTATTTGTCAATCCTTGTTAGAAAAAAAAAAGAGTTTCTCCAGCAGAAGGTGAAGGGCTGGAAATTGTAATTAAACTCTCCTGGAAGAGATGGTGGGCAGACTTAGATATACACACGATGGATGGATGGATGGATACCATGAATAGGACGCCCATGCAAGGCCTGGGGAAAAATGTTTTTAAAAGATTGCTTAAAGATGGGGGTTGTAAATGTCCCTGGGGGGGAATGCTGTTCCAAAGAGTAGGAGCAGTGATGGAGAAGGCTCACCTCCTGGGTCCTTAGATAATACTGCTTAATCAACAGGATCCAGAACAAACTTGTCAGAATGCATGCAGTATGCTAGTACTAAAAGAGACAGACAAACCCTCAAAAAGCTAATCCCGGTGCTATATAAGACTTTATAAATAATAACTAGTGTATTGAATTGCATCCAGAAGCTGACTAGTAATCAGTGTAGATCATATACGATATTACATAGGCATAGGGACACTTCTCCATTACTGCTCATATTGCCACATTCTGGACTAGGGGTAGTTTTTGAATGGTCTTCAAGGCCAAATTTGTTTTCCTTGCTCCTGACATAGTTGGTTGACTCTCTCTCTCCAGGGCAGTTCTACCAAGACATCAGCCACTCTCTCTACAGCCACCACAGATACTAGTGTTACAGGTATGTAGGAGCTGATATATTTTCCCCCTCCTCTCCGTTGCAGTCCTAATTCCTGTGGCCTGAAGGAGAACTTTGGTTTTCTTTGCAGATCCCAACATCTCACCCCCTTGGATTGGCTCTCAAGAGCTCCATGAATATGAGGAGGTAGGAGGTCCTAGGAGATTGGAGGAAATGGGACCACTCTATGATGAATGGAATGCCAACTATGAACCATGGATCAATGAATATGCAGTGAGTAGCTGGAGAGGGAGGTGATTTCTCAGACAGTCCTGTTGTGTTGCCAATCAAGGGTACAGTAGGTTGCTTTATCAAGGAAGTTTTGTTGATGGATACTTCAATGGAAGTATTTAATCAGTGGAACAACTTGCCTCCAGAAATTGTGAATGCTCCAACACTGGAAGTTTTTAAGAAGAGATTGGACAACCATTTGTCTGAAATGGTATAGGGCAGTGGTGGCGAACCTATGGCATGCGTGCCAGAGGCGGCACTCAGAGCCCTCTCTGTGGGCATGTGCACCATTGCCCCAGCAGAGTTTGCCAGAGTAGCGAGCATGTGGCATTTGGAAGCGACAGGGCAGGAAGTGAGCGAGCAAGTGGTGTTGGCCCCCCGGGGATGCCCCGGAGATGGAGAGGGACTGGCCCTCGCCGCCCTGGCCACGATCACCCAGTCTGCCATGACCACTGCAGCCATGCCCACCCAGTGGGCCATGCCCCCCCAAGGGCACCACAATGCTAATGCAGCCCTGGCACTTTGCGATAAATAAATGGGTTCTGGGTTGCAGTTTGGGCACCCGGTCTCTAAAAGGTTCGCCATCACTGGTATAGGGTTTCCTGCCTGAGCAGGAGGTTGGACTAGAAGACCTCCAAGGTCCCTTCCAACTATTCTATTCTGTTCTGTTGTTGTTCTATTCTATTTATTCCATTCCATTCTATCCCATCCCATCCTCTATCTCAGGGGTCTTCAAACTTGACCCTTTTATGACTTGTGGACTTCAACTCCCAGAATTCCTCAGCCAGCATGCCTGGCTGAGGAATTCTGGGAGTTGAAGTCCACAAGTCATAAAAGGGCCAGGTTTGAAGACCCCTGCTCTATCTTAATACTTTAAAAATGACGTGGAATCTTACCAGATCTTATTCCTTGTGTTTAGCATGCCTACCAAGGGATTGGAAGATGGCCAGCTGCCTCCGCAAAGACAGCACCGATCTATGACTCTGTGGCAAACTATCTGCCCCTGGACACAGAGCTGCCTTTTGAGCAACAAGGGGAACTAGTCTAAGTAACCTGCTTTGTGTTTCTCTGACCCACCATCTAAGATTGTGTTGTCTCCTGGTAACTCTCAGCGCCTTCATTGTATGCTATATCCCTTAACAATGTAGAGAAGCCAAATCCAGGTGTGCAGACTTTGGATGGGTTCACACAATATAAGTAAGCCTGGATTAGCAAGACACAATTGCTGAGGGTGCAAAAAATAAAAAAAAATGGTGTACTCAACCTACAAAGGATAATGTGACAGCTTTGTTTGTGGTCGGATCCTTACAAATCAAGTGTGGAATGTTTGGCAAAACAGCTAAGGGTAAGCATTCTCCTTTTTCCCTATCGGAATCCGATGCCTTGGGCTCCTCCCAGCTATTACTTTGCCTGGCTAATTGAACTGTTTTAAACTCAGCTGGGTTTAATAAAAACTGTAACTTTAAGAATCGCTACCTAGGCTTGCGGTCCCCCCCTCCTCTCCCCTCCCCTCCCCTCCCCTCCCCTCCCTTCCTCTTGCTTCGCTTGTGTGTGTTGTCTTTTGTAGCTAAACCTCCGGGCAAGGAGTTTTCCACCACTCAGCTGCTTGGGAGTGTCTTTTGGCTAAAAAGCTAGGTTCAAAATGCAAGAAATCCATAAAATATAAATAAGCCGAAGGCAGACCACACATGGCTCGCTGGGGATGGAAAGGATACCAGGAACCAGAGTCACGTGAAGAGTGTTAAAAAAAAAAGAGGTTTATTACACTTCTGCTCCAATAGTATATGCTCCGTTGTAAAGCCTGCTTGATCTTTCCTCTGGTCATCTATCCTTGCAAGCTTTCATCATGTCGAACGCAGAGGGATACATATTATGAACATAGCAGACCCCAAACAGACCAGGGGGAAAGCATTGACTCATCTATTCCTAACCATGACAAGGTTAAAATGATGAAGCAGGCATCTTGAAACCTGCCTCGTGGGATCCCGTCTAAGGGCAGTTGGCAATACAACAGCATTTCATCCCTTGCCGTCCCCCTCTGTCGGAGGCCTATGGGTGGAAATACCTCGTCTGCTTTGCATTTGTGGATGATAGTCACACAGCAGACTTAAGCTGGCTACTAAATGGACCCACATTGTGGGTTTGCATTGAGCCGGGTTCCTACGGTACATTTTAGGTGTAAACAACTAACCCCAGGTAAAAACTAACCAAGCATTGTACTGTATGTTTCCAAACACAGATAGTCCTTGACTTACAGCAGTTTGTTTAGTGACCGTTCCAAGTTACAACGGCCAAGTTACAACGTTTTTCATAGTTATGACCTTTGCAGCATCCCCACGATCCTGTGATCAAAATTCAGATGCTTCTTCGGTGCCATTGTAACTTTAAATGGTCGCTAAATGAATGATGATAAGTCGAGGACCTACTTGTAATTCCTACCAGATACTTGCAGAATAGGAAGGGAGCTGGGGATTGGAGAAGAGCACAAAGGAAAAAGGGGAATGGTTCTCCCACTTTGTGGAGATACAGCTTTCCGAAATGGAAGGAAGCTAACGCAGTCTCGGAGAAGAGCTCAAGACTGCTTCTTTGGCCCATGTAGGGTTTTAAAGCAAGCCAGAGATCTGGCTACAGCTGTCTGCACACAGATGCTGTGAGAGGGTGCAATGCAGGCCAAAGCCTAAATCATAATCACAATAAAAAATAACATGCAAAGATATCCTGGCAGTTCTGAACACACCCATCCATCTTCCTTCAGAGACCTTAGGACAGGGGTCCCCAACCTTGGCAACTTTAAGACCTGTGGACTTCAACTCCCAGAATTCCCCAGCCAGCATGGCTGGCTGGGGAATTCTGGGAGTTGAAGTCCACAGGTCTTAAAGTTGCCAAGGTTGGGGACCCCTGCCTTAGGATGCTCTTTACCAAGGATGGTAGTGCAACTGCCTTTGCTCGCCTCTGGCTAATTTGAGGCATAATTAATAGCAGTGCCAGCACTTTCCTCTGTAAGAGGAATTTTCTGCCTTAAAAGGCTAACTTGTCATTAACACCAACTTAATAACGATGATATCCCCATCCCTGGGAGAAATCCTGGGAATTTCAATTTTGCTGGGCTTGCCAAGACTTCTATTAGAAGTCCCAAACCTGCTCACAAAATAATGCTTCCTTGGATTCTCCACGTTACATGAATCTGGACTGAATCCAATTTCATTTTGAATGAAATGCATTTGGTAACACATTCTGCAAGCACCTATGTTGTGAGAAGACTTTTTGCAGTAGTCATTTAGATGGTGACATATTTGAGTAATTCTTAAGAAACCCCACAAAACCCCTCTTAGGGGTCCATTGTTGACAGGATTCAATGGGGTTAGTCTAAAATAGATTCTGTCTTACATCTACTAGTGAGGAGTTAGGCCAATTGAATACAGTGGGGATCTTCCCCCCCTCGAGTACTCATATATAGACTTGCATTGTTGGTTTTGCCTTAAGCCAGGGGTCTACGAACTTGGCCCTTTTATGACTTGTGGACTTCAACTCCCAGAATTCCTCAGCCAGCGTGCCTGGCTGAGGAATTCTGGGAGTTGAAGTCCACAAGTCATAAAAGGGCCAAGTTTGAAGACCCCTGCCTTAAGTGATGGCTCAAGCTGGCCTCCTGCTATATGATCCAAGTAATCAATGAACCAATGTGGTTCAAGTAAAAAAAAGTTCAGAGGTTCAACAAACCAATATGATTTAGGAATAATAATAATAATAAAGATTCAAGTGTTCTACGAACCAATATGGTTCGAGTTAAAATCCATTTCACAGAAATGATTAAAGTGGAGTGGATAAGGAATATGGAGAGTTCCTAATTATACGGAATGTCAAGAGGACCAAATGAGGGAGGTAGCTGGATGCAAAAATTCAAATCAACTTTTCCTTCAGTGATGGATTCCAACCTGGAACGACCTAGAGGATGCCAGGTTGGAGAAGATGGACTCATATGCCCAGATCATCACTTGCTGATGATATGGAACCTCATGGGATTATGTGGTCTGGGTTTGAATCTGGGATGCCACCAGCCTGTGGTAGAAACGATGATGATGGCAGAGATAAACCCAGCTTCTCCATCAATGGTTCATGGTTACAATGGGTCATCTCTGCAACTGACCCATGGCACCAGCATCTACTAAGTGAAGATGCTTTTTTGTGTAAAGCTTCAAGGTTCAGCTTGGTGTCCTAATCCTTATCCAATAACTTAATTAAATATAGCAAGCAGAAGACAACAGATTCCATTGGGGTGGGGAGAACAGAAAGGAGAAGAAAGAAACAAAGACATTCATGCTTCCTCACTCTTCAAGGTGGAGAAAGAGAAAGGCTGGTCTATCCGGGATGGCTGTCAGGTGAAGGATGGAGGATAGACCAACCCAGGGCCTGAGCGACGGCTTCGTAGCAAAAGACGCAGCTAGAGAGTAAAGACAAAGAGTTTGTCAAAGCTGCACATTGCTCTTCGAACTTTTGCCTGTCCCCAGCCCTACCTGGATCATTCAAAAGCCCAACTCACCTGCTCGGCTGCTGGTCCTGAAGTCAATAGGTGAACTGGCTGCTCATTCTCTGGGTTCCGGGCACTGGGATCGGCCCAGTGGTCTAGTAAGAGGCGGACAATCTGCTCTTGATAAGGATGGCCATGTAGACCTGCAGCCATGTGCAGAGCTGTGTTGCCATGGGCCTGAGGATAGAGAAAGCCCTTGATCCTAAGGCAGTACTCGGCTTATCATCTCCTGATCAAGAGAGGCAGATCAGGCAAGGCAAACACTGGAAAGGCATATGCCAAGAGGCTTGGGTGATGATGCTGAATCTGCATACCACACCTTCTTTAGGTGGAAAGGCTCCCATCCCTGTCTCAATTCCATATACAAAATTATGGCTCTTAAGGTACAGCAAGATGAGAAATTCATTCATGCATCTCCAATATGACTGCCAAGCCACCCACGCAGTTCTCATCTGTTTGACTTCTGCACCACATGTTGTTGATATAGGCTTCCCCCCCCCCTTGCAGCTGAGCAGGCAAATGGTTTTAAAAGGAGAAGTACCTTGTCCCAGACACCATGCCTCAGCAGTCACGCACTCTCTCTCCTTCCCTCCCTCCTGCTCTTGGATTTCCCCCCCAAATCAAATGCCTCCCAGATATTCTTTACCTGCTGCTTCCAAGATCTGCAGCATTGACATGTGCTAACGGTAAGCAAGGGCGGTCCTCAATGTGCAAAGTTTAGCATCTATTCAAAGTTACAAGGGCACTGAAAAAAGGGGCTTACAACTGGTCCTTGCACTTATGATTGTCACAGCATTCCGATGTTCACATGATGAACGTTCGGCTGCTTTGCAACCGGCATGTGTTTACAAGGGTTACAGTATCCCGGGATCATGTGTGATCTCCCCAGCCAGCTTCCAACAAGAAAAGTTAACGAGAGAAGCCGGATTTGTTTAACAACTATATGATTTATTTAACAACCATGGCAGAAAAGGTTATAAAGTTGGGTGCAACTCACTGAACACACTGCCTTGCTCAGTGGCAGAAATTCTGGTCCCAGTTGTCACTGTAAATTGAGGGCTTCCTGTAGTCCAGTGATGGCGAACCTTTTAGAGACCGAGTGCCCAAACTGCAACCCAAAACCCACTTATGCATCGTCGAGTGCCGGGTGGGTGTGGCCCATTGGCTGGGTGTGGCCCGTTGGGTGGGCGTGGCCCATTGGCTGGGCGTGGCTGCGCTGGTAACGGCAGACTCGGTGGGACTAAAAAGTTCAATCAATCAATTCCAACTTTGCAAGATCTTTTTTTTTTCCGCGAGAAGTTGAAATTGACTGATTGAACCTTTTTTTTTTTTTTGTACACAGTGGCGGAGGCCTAAAGCAAAAAAGTTTTATAAAACCCAGATGAAGGCCTAGGACTGGGCGACGGCGCGCATGCCCACAGAGAGGGCTCTGAGTGCCACCTCTGGCACCCGTGCCATAGGTTCGCCACCACTGCTGTAGTCCAAGGCACAGGTTGGAAGCTGTCGGAAAATGCACACCACCTTCTCTGTGCCCAGCCCCGGGGCCAATGCTTGTGAATAGCAATAGCCCTTAGACTTATATACTGCTTCATAGTGCTTTGCAGCCCTCTCTAAATGGTTTACGGAGTCAACACATTGTCCCTAACAATCTGGGTCCTCATTTTACTGACCTCAGAAGGATGGAAGGCTGAGTCAACCTTGAGCCCCATCAGGATCAAACTGCCGAACTGCAGTCAGCTGGCAGCAGAATTAGCCTGCAGTACTGCATTCTAACCACTGTGCCACCACAGCTAGGGCAGGGCTTTTCAACCTTTTCACCCATTGTACACTTTTAGGATATGGCAATATCCAAGAACCATCAGTCGCCTAGCAAGGTGTCAAAAACTTGATGACCCAAAAAAAGTGATAAAAGTACAAGTAGTCCTCGACTTACAACAGTTCGCTTAGTGACTGTTCGAAGTTACAATGGCCCTGAAAAAAGTGCCCCCCAAGCCACAGCCAAGCAAGACACCTGCCTGCCCACCCGGTGGCGCTCTTCCTCCTGTCTGAGGTTTTCATTGTGAGCATTTCTGTTGAAGATTGGCAGCGGGGGTGGGGTGGGGTGGGTGTTTGGTTTTTATTCCCCCCGTCTGCTGGTTGGTTGCAGCAGGTTTTGGTCACTTCACATGACCCTGGGACACTGTGACTGTCATAAATATGAATCAGTTGCCAAGCATCTGAATGTAAATCACAAGACCCTGGAGATGCTGTAACATTCCAGCTGATCGGCGCTTCTTCTGGGCTCAGCAGAAGTGCCAGGATCAGTACTGCTTTCCAGCTGATTGGTGCTTCTTCAGGGCTCAGCAGAAGCACCAGGATCAGCGCCTAGCTCCAGCTGGAACCTGGCGCTGATCCTGGCGCTTCCACTGAGCCCTGACAGCCCCGAAGAAGCGCCAATCAGCTGGAAAGCGGCACTGATCCTGGCGCTTCCGCTGAGCCCTGACAGCCCTGCAGCTCCAGCCATCTCTCACTCAGGCTTGTCCAGTGCTGCCACCGGTTCAGCTCATTCCCCTCCCCCACTACCACTTTTCTAGGATGCTTGCGTACCACCTGCCAGGTGCCAATGTACCACAGATGGTACCTGTACCACTGGTTGAAAAGCCCTGCGCTGGGAACTCCTAGTCTCATACCTTAATGTTTACAAAGTTCTGACGTTCTTGTCCAGGTAGTTTGAGGAGGAACTGGACCAAAGGCAGGTTTGCAGCCTGAACAGCCAAATGCAGGATGGTTTTACTGCTCTTCAACTCCTAACCAAAAGTAAAGGGAAAACAAAGATCAGACATCCAGGCAGTGGTGGGTTTAGGTAATTCTCCAGTTTGGTCTAAGTGGGTTCTTTCTTTAGATGGCACTGTGTATTACTTCCAAATGGGAAAAGTCAAATCTGTTGCACTGATGTCCACCTTCTGATGGAGGGCCTGGATGTTTTGCCTTCCCACCTCCTTTGTGGTGCTATTACAGCCAGACAAGACACTCTTCCTGGAGAGTCAGGAATCCTACCTCGACATGACACGAACCCTTGATATAGCCTGCCCACTTACCTGGCTCTTGTAATCAGCTCCAAGTTGCAAAAGCCGCTGAATACAGAGCAGTAAGTTCTGCAAGTGATGTTGGGACGAGGGCTCCATGTTTTGTGTCTGGAAAGCAGCATTATGAGCAACGACGGCACAGTGCAAAGGAGTGAGACCTGTACAAATACCGCAGAAAAGGAATCAGACAGCACGCCTGCATTTTGTGTGTGTGTGTCTTTGAGTGAGTGTTGACTCCTGATATGTTGATTGACACCTAGTCCCTGCAGTTTTCTTGGCAAGATTTTGGAAGAGGTTTGCCACTGTCTTCTTCCTAGTGCTGGGAGAGGGGGACTGGCTCAAGGTCATGTAACTGTTGTGTTCTGCCTAAGGCAGAACTACAACTCACAGTCTCCTGGGTGATTGGCCTAAAGCAGTGATGGCGAACCTTTTAGAGACCCAGTGCCCAAACTGCAACCCAAAACCCACTTATGCATCGTCGGGTGCTGAGTGGGTGTGGCCCATTGGCTGGGTGTGGCCAATTGGGTGTGTGTGGCCCATTGGGTGGGCGTGGCTGCGGCGGTAATGGCAGACTCGGTGGGACTAAAAAGTTCAATCAATCAATTCCAACTTTGCAAGATCTTTTTTTTCCCGCGAGAAGTTGAAATTGACTGATTGAACCTTTTTTTTTTTTTTTGCACATGGCAGCGGAGGCCTAAAGCGAAAAGGTTTTATAAAACCCAGCTGAAGGCCTAGGACTGGGGCGACGGCACGCATGCCCACAGAGAGGGCTCTGAGTGCCGCCTCTGGCACCCGTGCCATAGATTCGCCACCACTGGCCGAAAGCTTCCTAGCCGGTTTCCATGCCTAAGAGGGGACTAGAACGCACAATCTCCTGAGTGATTGGCCCAAAGTCACCCAGCTGGCTTTCATACCTAAGGTGGAACTAGAATGCATGTTCTGCTGGTTTCTATCCTGTTACCTTAACCACTACACCAACATGGCTCTTAAACATACTTTTTGAGAAGTATGTTTTGAGAAAAATCAAAAGCTTTTATCATCTTGATGTAATGGTTGGTTCCCAGAAAGCTACGAATTCCGGAAGCCTTTATGTAGACAGCCAATTGCAAGCGTCTATATTATCAGTGAAGAGAGCTGCATCCTCACTAGATCAGAGGAAGACTGTTAGAAGGAAAATCAGAAAGCTCTCTGCCCTACCATCCAAGGAGGAAAAAAATGGCTCTAAACATGAAATGGTTCAGTGGCTGGAAGTTTTGTAAGTTTTGTAATTCATTCTTCTCAATGAATCTTGCTAAAGGGAAAAAAATAGTATGAATCATACTTGGAAAAAAATCACTTTTGGTTCAGGCAGTTGCCAAAGAACCTGACACTTACCTTCAAAATTTCTGGCTTCCACATTGACAAGAGCACCAGTCATCATGACAGCCTGGAAAAGAAGCCGGAGGTGGGGGAAATAATAAAGCCGATGTGTGTTTTGGAAAAGATTAGTTTGAGTCATGAAATTTTCCATGCTGGCTCAGGATATCTAGGAAATATAGCTCCAGTATATCAGGAGGTCCTGGAGGTTGTGCTAGGCCAGGGGTAGGCAACCTTGGCTCTTTTATGACTCGTGGACTTCAACTCCCAGAATTCCTGAGCCAGCTATACCCCTGTGCTAGGCAAAGCTTTGATGAGGTGACTCACTTGGAAAGAGATTCAACCCAATCACCATGTCAAAACAGATACACAAAGTCAAGCAGGATGGTAGTTTTACTATCCAGATTAGAACCGCCCTGACAGTTTACAGGTAGTCCTTGACTTATAACCATTTGTTTAGTGAGCAGAAGTCATAACAGCGCTGAAAAAAAAATGACTTATGACCAGTCCTCGCATTTATGACCATTTCAGCATCCACAGAGTCACATGATCCAAATTTAAGTGCTTGGCAACCAACTTATATGTATAGTTGCAATGCCCCAGGATCGTGTGATTGCCATTTGTGGCTTTCCTAGCCGGTTTCCAACAAGCAAACTCAACAGAGGAGGCTGGATTAGGTTAACGGACAATCATTCACTTAACAATGGCAATGGATTTGCTTAACAACCATGGTAAAAAAGGTTGTACATTTGGGCATGACCACCTTGCTTATCAATGGAAATTCTGGTCACAATTGTCATAATTTGAAGGCTACTGCATTTGTTTTGCTGGCTTATCAGTGGCTTTCTAAGCATATCCCCAAACTACATGTCTCAAAGCGAAGCAGGTGGATTAGCAGACTAATACCTCTTCAGTGCTTCTCTGGTGCTTTGCTTGGAGCACTGAGACAGGTAGTTTTGTCCCCACTAAAGAGGTATTATGCCTACTTTGCACAAGGCTATTTTAGTGGAGAAAATAGGCCAGTCTCACCTCAATGACACTGGGCAACCCGTAGGTGGCGCCAAGATGCAGCACAGTCTGCCCCTTTTGGTCCATGGCATTGACATCTGCTCCCAGCAAAACCAGGTCCTTCACGATCTTAGACTGATTGGCTGCAGCCGCCACTAATAATGGAGTCTGGGCAGAGAGAAAAAAAAATTGAACTAAAGAAGCTTCTTGGATGAGAAGCGAAACATTTTCAAAGAAAAAGCACCTTTGGGACAACCATGACCTGGATGGCTGAGAGTCTCCATAAACAATTGAACTGAAACTCAACTTGACTTGAGGGCACGGCCTAAACAGGTGGTCCATATAAGGCAGTCACCCAAATGGCAGCTCACTATAGCGGTAGAAATGGATGGAAGGAATGATGCGCCAACGTAAGTTTTCGTAGCCCCAGTATCAGTCTTGCTCAGTGTTTCTCAACTTGAAGATGTATGGACTTCAACTCCCCAAATTCAATTCCCCCTAGATCCCCATCAAATCAACTCCCCCCATCTGCCTATTTTAGATCTGCCTGATCTGCCTATCCTAGATCCAAAACTATGAATATTGTAAGAAAATATATATATATACAACTCTAATGTTTGTATGTAGCTTCCCGGTGGCATTTTTTTTACATTGTAATCTCAGATTCTTGAAGGACAGTTGCTGATGCTTTCCCATTCCAGTCTAACATGGAACAGCAGATCACGCAAGATAAGCCACAGAGGCGATGGGAAGAGACTTTTTTCAAGAAACAACAGCCCAAGATACCTTTAGCAATATCTGTGCAGGGAGAGAACCTCCAGCTAATTCATGGACCAGGGGTTTCTAAACCTGGCAACTTTAAGACTTGTGGACTTCAACTCCCAGAATTCCCCAACCAGCCAAGGAAGTTGAAGTCCACAAGTCTTAAAGTTGCCATGTTTGGAGACCCTTGCCATAGAGTGAACTTACCTTCCCCCTGTGTTCTTTGACATCCAACTGTCCACAATCTCGGAGCATTTCAGCTGCAGCATAGGACAATGGGCGGAGTCCTTGAGCAACAAAGAGATGGAGCAACCTGGAAAAGAAAGGCGCAGAATGATCAAATGTCTACCATACTTTTTGGATAGCCACTTCCCATGCCAACATCCTCACCTCACTTTTTTTTTTTAAAGGACTCTGACTTCAGAAAGTTTTGTGAGTTTACAACTAGCACTGAGAATTCTCCCTCCCCAACACTTTAGCATCTTGTATTCTCTGATTTGCAAACTCGCTGGCTGCATGTCTTATTTTATCATTTGAATTTTGAAGGGTTGCCAAGTTTCAGTCTCTTTCCAGATAAAGAATCGTTGAAAGGAAAAACAAGGTCACTCTTGAATTCATAAAACCAACTCTGCAGGCGAGGACATTGCTTACCTGATCGTAGCTTTCTCAGGTACAGTAAGTTATCTACTACATTTTTATTTATAGTATCATAATCAGTTCCTTGTGCAACACATATAGCGGTATCCAAAGGTGAGGGAAGCAAGGATGATTTGCAAAGATGGAAAGCTATAGATTATAATGAATGGTGTTGGAATAATTAGATTTAGCTATCTATCTTTTTCTTTGTTCTCTCATGTCATTAACTGACACAGTTTTGCTGCTCTTTATGCCAGTGTTTCTTAACCGTGACAACTTGAAGATGGGTGGCCTTCAACTCCCAGAATTCCCCACACAGCATGATGTCTACCCATCTTCAAGTTGTCATGATTGAGAAATACTGACTTTTGTCTTTTCTGTGTGAGTATAACATTGTGTACATGAAATGGAATAGCGTGAGGAATATGATGATCCACTGTTAAGGATTAGCACAGAGATATGCATACCTATGCAAAGGAATTATCACTAAGACATCTACAAAGATTTAACATGTAAATATACCAACTGTAAACCTACTGGTTGCCTTTGGTTTTTTTTGCCAATACTTTATTGACCACCCAATTGCCATGTATTTTTCCTATCTGATTCACTCTAAGTGGCAAGAAAATGACACAGCTGCCACCGTTTAATCCTGTTTTATGCTGCAACTGTGGATGTTTTCCTAGTGTGATGCATTCCAGATGTGATACAACTATGTAACACTTGGCATTTCTAGCTGGTATGGTCTTTGGTTTTCCAAGCTGGAAATTACAGGCCTCACCTAACTGAAAAGCACCAGGCTGGCAACAGATCCCAGTCCCTTTCCCAGTTGGTTCCTATGTAGCCTGCTTGTTATCTGCTTTCCAAAATCTTTCCTTTTTTTCATCTTTTCCCACGACCATCCCAAACAAGAACACGGAATGACTTTCTCAGTGGGATGGTGCCCCAGTTGTACACTTACGTGTCGCCATCTTCATCCTGTTGTAAAAGGTGAGATAGATCTATATTCTGGATCTGCGCCCGAGCTTGAGTCAGTTCCCCTGGATCTACATCCACAGATAAGTCTGCATAACTCCCAGGAAGGAGGAAAGAAGCATTGTTTTGTTCCTGTCCCAGCCAGGAGTTCGCTGAGCTTGGATAAAGATGGACAGCTTCAGTGGCAACCTTCTGGGTGGAAATTAAAAAAAAAAAGGTAAGCAGGTATTGGAGTGAAGCTAATCTAAAGATCAGTGGTTCTCCCTTCTCTATCTCTGCCCATGATCCTCGCTAACCTTTTATGCCTAAGGCAGGATTAGAACTCACAAATGAGGGCAAATATATATGTCCCAGGATAATGTTGCAGGATCCAATCTGGGTTAGTCACCAGGGCCAGAGGTTTGGTCTTCCAAGCTTTTGGACTCGTGCTGGAGCCTACCTCTCTAGCATTAGACCTATATTGGATTCTGCAGATTGGATTCTGCAGGATTAGAACTCACAGGCCCTTGGTTTGTAGGCCAGCACCTTAACTACGATGCCAAACTGGCTCTTCAGATGGGTGGTTCTCCCTTCCCTACTTCTGCCCATGATCTCTGATAACCGTTCTGCCTTTACCAAATGATGCCCCAAGGTTATTAAGATCCTCCACACAAAATAGCTACATGTAATGCATGTAATAAGGATGCAATCTCCCATCACTCTCGCTCATTGTAAGAAACAATTGTGCTTGTAGTTGTAGCTGTAGGTAAAATTTCTCCAAAGAGCTCTTCAGTAATGTGACCCAGGCACTATCTTGTATGGAAGCACAAATTGTTTATTATGGTACTGAAAGCATCTGAAGCTAAAGTGGGTGAAGATGCAACTCTTCTATATAGTGATGCAAATTAGAGTACACCTCTGCTTGGATACAGCAAAGTAACTGATTGGACATCATTGAGCTATGACAGTGGTGGCGAACCTATGGCACGGGTGCCAGAAGCTACACTCAGAGCCCTCTCTGTGGGCACGCGCACCATCGCCCCAGTCCTAGGCCTTCAGCTGGGTTTATAAAACCTTTTTGCTTTAGGCCTTTGCCGCTGTGTAAAAAAAAAAAGGTTCAATCAATCAGTCAATTTCAACTTCTTGCGGGGAAAAAAAAGATCTTGCAAAGTTGGAATTGATTGATTGAACTTTTTAGTCCCACCCAGTCTGCCGTTACCACCGTAGCCACGGCCACCCAATGGGCCACACCCACCCAATGGGCCACGCCCACCCGGCACCCGACGATGCATAAGTGGGTTTTGGGTTGCAGTTTGGGCACTCGGTCTCTAAAAGGTTCGCCATTACTGAGCTATGACTAGCTATAGCAGCATCTTCTATGCCAGTGGGGTTAAGCAGGTGGTTTCTATGGAATGATGGGGTGGAGCCACCAGAGCAGTGGTATTTTAAGAAAGGGTTCCATGAAGTTGCTTTCTGTAGAGTTACAGTCGGAATGGGACCACTTGCTGCAGCCAACTCGCTATGGTATAATTCAACATGGGATAACTCAAGACAGGGACAAGTGAATTACAGTGGGTTTTGTCTTGTTTTAGATTTGAACCTTGAACCTAAAGCAAGACAAGACCCTCTGCAATTCTTTTGTCCCTCTCTTGAGTTATCCTGCATTGAATTGTCCTGTGGCAAGTTGTCCCAAGTTGGCCATGGCAAATTGAGTTGGCCAGGGCAAGTTGGCTGCAGCGAGTTGTCTTAGACCCAGTTACCATCATGGGTCTTGTCTTAAACTGGCCTTAGATACCAGATCCTACGCCTGCTGCTAGTATCTTCTAGATTCGAACTGCTATCTTCATGGGATGCCTTTTTGTTCTCTCAATGTATCTTCTAGTCTTATCAGCCTGCCTTTGCCTTCTAAATATTTTATGACTGATTCCATAGGGTTTACTTTTTTCTCTCAAGTTCCCGGGTGGGTATTGAGGAAAAGGGATGGATGATTTGCTCGGTTTTACTTGTCCAAACCAGCACCATATTTTTTTTTCTACGTACAGTAGTTCAACTCATCTGGATAGCACCTGGATAGGGAAAGTGAGCCCAGACTTATCTACTTTGAAAATACATCTAGGCATTTTTTTTTAAAAAAAATAACATACTGCTTTCTCGTTGTCTTTTCCAAAGAAAAGATGTGAATTGCACTTTGGAGAGGCTCCTGGCATGCTTTGAAGAGTTCACATCTGCATGCAATTCTCAGGATTCCCTTTTGAGAAGCAAGTGGCTTTTATCAGCCAGCTTGAGACAGTAGTATGGATCCACTGCTAAATACCCCAGGGAACTCATTCTATCCCACTTCCATCTCTGCTCATCTCACCTCATAATTTACTGCTGATGTTATCTTGGAAGTATACACTTCCTCGGGACCTCCAGGACCTACTGTTCCATAAATATTGGTTTCCAAGGGAGGGCAGGGGCTCATCACATCGTACTGGCTCCCCTGAGGCTGGAGATGGAAATCGTTGCCAGGGTCCACACACGGGTAGTGAAAATCTGGAGAGAAAGCTCCTTGGCTGGAGGCATCTGTTTGCCAGGCAGGAAAGGCAGCAACTGGATACTGAGGAGCTGTAGTCTGCCCTAGAGTAGGAACCCCTTTTTCTATTGTTCCATGGGGCTCTAGGAAAAGAGATTTGGGAACGTTCCAATCAGTGAATAAAGCTGATTTCTTCGGAGAAGCAGAAAATGCTTAGATCACTGTACTCAGGTCTACATTTAGGACGTTAGTAACCTGCTGCAAGTGTGAAAAATGGTCATACTTGGCTAGCTGGCTAAGTATCTTTCTTCTGTGTATATTTAATCTGGACATTTTTAGTGTCATTATTGTTTTCAGTATTTTTAATTGTAATATATTTTTTGAATCGTCAGCCACCCAGAGTCTTTGACTAAGATGGGCAGCTATAGAATTTGAATACATACATACATAAATAAATAAAGTCTTAAGTCTACCTTACAGGGCTGTGGCAAGGTAAAAATGTGATAGAGGAAAACCTCTTTGGGGTCAATTTGCACCCTTGAAGGAAATGTTAGTAAATACATGATAGTTATTCAATAATCCTAAGTAAAGACCTAATGAAACTTTGAATAATAAACCTATTTGAATAATAAACCTTGCCCCGTAAATGAGCAATACAGGATAACCCCTGTATTTTTATTTATTTATTTTATTTATTTATTTTACTTAATCCCTGTATAGTTTTATTGGGATTTTAAACAAGAAATATAAAAACAAATAGAAACTCATATTTAGAAGGAAGGAAAGAAGGAAGGAAAAACAAAGCCAGAAGTGCAGGAAAAAAAGTATAACTTCTGATTTTTTTTTATAGCAGTTATAAGTAGAAATTAACTTGTTACTTGATGGTTATAGCACGGCTTTCACTTTTTAATAATAATAATAATAATAATAATGATGATGATGATGATGATGATAACAACAACAACAACAACAACAACAACAACAATAATAATAATAATAATAATAATAATAATAATAATAATAATAATAATAATAATAATAAAGTTGGAAGGGACCTTGGAGGTCATCGAGTCCAACCCCTGCTCAGGCAGGAACCCTACACCATTTCAGACAGATGGCTGTCCAGTCTCTTCTTAAAAACTTCCAGTGTTGGAGCATTCACCGCTTCTGGAGGCAGGTTGTTCCATTGGTTAATTGTTCTAACTGTCAGGAAGTTTCTCCTTAGTTCTAAGTTGTTTCTCTCCTTGATCAGTTTCCATCCGTTGCTTCTCGTCCTGCCTTCAGGCGCCTTGGAGAATAGCTTGACTCCCTCTTCTTTGGAGCAGCCCCTGAGATACTGGAAGGCTGCTATCATTTCCCCCCTCGTCCTTCTCTTCATTAAACTAGACATACCCAATTCCAGCAACCGTTCCTTATATGTTTTAGCCTCCAGTCCCCTGATCATCTTTGTTGCTCTTCTCTGTACTCTTTCTAGAGTCTCAGCATCTTTTTTACATCGGGGTGACCAAAACTGGATGCAGTATTCCAAGTGTGGCCTTACTAAGGCATTCTATAATCTATTTTTAATCATCAAAACCATATATCAAAAGTTTATTTTGTTCTGTTTCATGCACAAGGTCTATAAGGGTTTTCCAGTCAGCATTAGACTTAATTTTTTTTTCTTTGATCAAAGATGTCAATTTGGTCAATGACCTTCGTGTGTTTGACAGACAGGCAGGAGTCACAAACATGAGGCTGAGATAGCTTTCTCCAATAAAGGATAATTAGTTTAACATTCAGAAGTGTGGTAACCACCAGAGACAATCTTGTTATTGTCTTCCAACTGGAAAAATCCCCCCTAGCAAGCATCCATCTCCACTTTTGAAGTTAGACGTGGCTACATCTGCCTAGGGCCCTTAACCGTCTAACCAGATCTTAAGAAGGCAGAACTTGGTCCTTACTCCTTTCTGAGTTTGGTTGTTTTCTTGCAGATGTTTCATTACCCAAACAAGATAACATTATCAGGGCTAGCAACACAAAATCAACCAAGCTCAGAGAGGATCAAGGACCCCTCATTTCAACCCTGAGCTACAAATATTCTCCTTTTATCCTCCATTCTCTACCTCTGCCCATGATCCCTGCTAACCTTTTATGCCTAAAGTAGGATTAGAATTCCCCTGGTTTTTAGCCCAGCACCTTAACCACTCCCAAAGGTGCTTTTTCAGGAGGCAACTGGACTTTCTTGTTTTTCTTTGAAGATGTTTTGCTTCTCATCCAAGAAGCTTCTTCAGCTCTGACTGGATGGTGGGGAATGAAAGGATTTATATTACTTGCAGACAGCTGGTCATTTGCATTCTTTTAGAGAGTCTTTGAGGGTCACCTGAGCAGTGCAAATGTGTGTGGAGCCTTCTTGGCTGCAGGATGTTTTCTGCCCTGTGTCCCTTCACTGTTGAAGACAGGTGCAGGCTGTTGGGGATGAGTTTGTGTTGTCTGCATCTCAAACTGAAGCACAAATGGTTCCTGTAGTCTGCAATGTTTTCTGGAAATCCGTTCATACTCCTGCACCATTCGAAGGATGTTCATCCCAAAGTGCATAGCTAAATGTCTATGGAGATTCTCAGTCATCCAGGTCATGGTTGTCCCAAAGGTGTTTTTTCAAGAGGCAAAAGCACCTTTGGGGCAAGCATGACCTGGATGACTGAGAATCTCCATAGACACCTTAACCACTCTGCCAAACTGAGTTCCCCAGTCAGCATGAGGATTACTGAAAATTCTGGTAGTTGAAGGACACCCAAGCTGGAAAGTGTCCAAGTTCAGCAAGCTTTGCTGAAACAATATCCTAACCTTACTGTATTGTCCTAAAGTGGACAAGAAAACAAGACTGACTTGGAATACATTTCAAGAATGTATTTTCTTAAACAGGGGAAAGAACAGGTAGTCCTTGACTCAAACCACAATTGAGCCCCTAATTTCTGTGGCTAAGCGGGTTTCGCCCCATTTTATGGCCTTTCTGCCACAATTGTTAAGCAAATCACTGCCGTTGTTAAGTGAATCGTGCAGTCATTATGCGAATCTGGCTTCCCTCATTGACTTTGCTTGTAGAAAGCTAGCTGGG